TAGAGGACCTGAGATTGAGGAAGACACGTACCACCCATAGGGGTGAGAGGGGAATTTTTTATTGTTATTATAGGTAATTGGCCTATCAGAAAAAGGGCTGAGTAGGATAGGAGGCCATTGGAAATCCCAGAGTGTAGGCTAGGAAACAAAGGCCTGGGAGAAGGCAGTGACCTGTCACTTGCATCTTGCTGCCCAGGAAAACTACAAAACTGCATTGTCAGCACCTGGAGTAAAGCTTGATTTGAGGGAGTCTTTGCATTTCAAACTGTATTTACCGCACTGCTAAACAGTAATGCTTGGAAAAAGAATCCCATTTTCAGGCTGCTTAAAACTAAGCCTGGAGAATACATTTTGAGCAGTTGCCACTGTGAAAAAAATGGCTGCTGTTTACGGACAACAATTTCTCAATTTATAACGGCAACCTGGAAAACAAGATACTCCACTTGATCCAATCTTTGGTGTTTACTTTAAGTCTCATAAACCTGTGTGTTGGGAAATGGGTATTTTGTGGCTGGTCATACTCCACCATCATTGCCCTGTTGTGAAGACACAACCTCTTTTGGCAGCACTCTCCAAGTTCTAAATGTGCTTACCAGCTACAATGTGAGAATGAAAAAGATTGAAATTTTGAGGCTTCTGTTTTGGGGTATTTTGTACAGAAATATCATTTGTCTTTAGCTGTATCTACAACCATTATGTCTTCCACTAATTATTGTTCATTAGGGGAAATTAACCGGGTGGATTGTATTTGTGATTCAAGTTTTTGTTTCTCTTGCAGCAAACTTCCAAGCTGGGCAAGAGCTGTTGTCCCCAAAATATTTTATGTTACAGAGAAAGCATGGAATTACTATCCATATACAATTACAGGTATGTTTTTAAGGGGGTTGTGGTGGTAAAGAAAGTAGATGTTTTAATGATTTCAGTTGTTACACAATTCTGCTATTCTATCTTGGATTAACAATTTTATTATTGTATAATATCTTACAGACTAGATCAGTGTTTCTCACCCTTGGCACCTTTAAGATGTGTGGACTTCAACTCCCAGGATTCCCCAGCCAGTCCGGCTAGGGAATTCTGGGAGTTGAAGTCCACACATCTTAAAGTCGCCAAGGTTGAGAAACACTGGACTAGATGCTCCATAAGATGCATGTTTATCCTCATTTGGGTATACGTATATCATTTGTTTGGGTTTAGAATTGCAAGCAGTTAAATCAGAGGGAAATGGCATGCAGAGGCTACAAAGAGTAATAATTAGATTGGAGGCTGATGTTAAAGTAATCACAGTGACTTTTTATAATGGCAGTGACAGTTGGTAACACACTGCTGAATTAATTAATCTCTGTAGTGAGATGGAAAATCATTGATTCTGTTTAGACCAATTAATAGAATGGAACTTCAGCTGAAGTCTTCCCTTGGAATTCTTTTGTTCAAGAGTGACTGCAGTAAGAATAGTAGCAGGTCAGTTGAATCTTGACTCCAACTGGTTTCTGAAGATTGAATTTCTAACGTCTGATTTGCATCACTTGATTCTTTTCCATGTCCTGTGCAAATATAAAATGGTATTTCAGGCAGATTACAAGGATATATAAGAATACAGGTAGTCCTTGTTTAGTGACCACAACTGGGACTGGCAACTCGGTCATTAAGTGAAGTGATTGCTAAGTGAATCCATGACTCTGCTTACGATCCTACTTCAGCTTTCCTTTGCTTTACAGATTTGCAGAGGTTGTAAATGTGAGGATTGGTCTCAAAGTTACTTTTTTATCACTGTCGTAACTGCAAACAGTCGCTAAATGAAGCAATTGCTAAACGAGGACTACCTGTATAAGCAGGAGAGTGGATGTTGTGACTAATGTTCTTGGGTCCTCTCATTGTGTTGTCTTAATAGATATGGGAATCAAGTTGGTACCTGTCTCTCTTGTACAGTCTGATCCCTATGTGGTCCTCTGCTCATGCTGGCTGGGGAATTCTGGGAGTTGAAGTCCTCACATCTTAAAGTTGTCAAGGTTGAAAAACACTGCTTTAGAAGTTAAGCTTGACTTGAAGGAGAGCTTACTTTTTATTGGCATGTGTTCTGGATATAGGATGGGGCTTTTTACCCATTCTGTAGATAAACAGTAGTGTCCAGAAAGCAGATTGGTTTGTCAGACTAATCTAGATTTGAGTTATTGGGAGGTGAAAGATTTGGTCCTGGATTGACTTCTCTAGGTTTGTGAGTTCAGATAGTAAAAATGTCATGTATCTCAGGCAGAGAAAGTTTTTAGAGGCAGGAGTTTAAAAAGCCATTGTTGGAAATCAACCATAAGCATGTTAGCATATTGTAGAGCTAGGCAGTATCTGTGGCAGTACAATTCATTTCCCTCCGACCTCACTGCTTTACAATTCTCTCACCCATGTTCAGTCACCCATTTAATTGTGATGCATACAATTAAATGAATTAAAAGTTTATATCTATCTTCCCCAGCCTGGATGTCTTCTAGCTGTGTGGGTTTCATTTCCCAGAATTCTCCAGCCAGCCCGGTTACTGCCAAGAATTCTGAGAACAGAGGTCCATAAGAGAGTGCCATAGTTGATAGCGCCTATTCTATAATACATTTCTTAGCCTAAAAGTGCCACCCAAGACTGTTATTTTCAGAGCAACACAAATCAACACAGGCACTCTCTGGACATTTTTGCTGTTTTATGTGTTGCTCCTTTCCACATTAACTTTCATAAATTAAAGTTTCATAAGTTACAGATAAAAAATCCCACTACTCTTTAGAAGAAATGAATCCCCACTATTTTCATTTCATGCTCTAGCCTTTGCTAGATACTTATTACCCAACTCTGTTCACTGCTGCTTAAGTACAGCACCACATAACATTGTGAAATAGTTTGATGTGCTATAATTCACCTTGCTGCTGTAGCTGATTTCCCTTGCAGTTCACCTAATAGCTGTACTGTACCAGGGACATTATTTAGTAGGGGTTACAAGGATCAGGCAGTATTTCATTCAGTTCATCCCAGGACAAGTTGCCATTCTTCAGCTCCCATAATTAGAACTTCTGCTTACAGGAGAGCCAAGCTGAACACAGATTAGTCACACAGCTACAGATTATTGTTTATGGTACCATGGCTGAGTTTGCTCTCTCTGCATGCCTATCTGTAGATTGCTTTACATGTCCAGGGCATACCCAGTGTTCTTGCAAACAAAAACAAAAAAATCTGTTCTCACTCCAGCTATCTAAGGTGAAATATCAAGGGCATATTTCTCCTGGCACTGCAGAGTTTCCTTGGCACCAAAGGAGAGCAAACACGCTCTAACTTTGAGCTAGCAGGGTACTGGTTGAAGAGAAGCTGGGAGTTGTCAGATGGGTACATTCCCGAAAAGCCACAATGAAGCCCTGAGAGCTCTCGGGCACCAGAAATGATCTCCTGGGGTTCTCTTCCTCCCACCAACCACTACCTTGAGCTGTTGGTGGAACTATGCTTGGTGCCTGCCTCAGGAGAACTCTCCAAGATTGCCTCCATTGAAGGAAGGGCACATAGCTTAGTAGAAGAGCACATACTCTCATCTCCAGCTTACAAATTAAAAGTGGAAGGAGGTATCCTGGAAGACCTCTGCCTGAGAGTGGGGCCTTGGAGAACAGCTGTCAGTCAGAGAAAGAATACTGGGATAGGGAACAAAGAGTCTTTGGGCAGATGTCTCTCTAGGGACTTTTGCTGGGTCCCATGAATTTAGTTTTCTTACGTGGTGCCATTTGAGTCTTCACACCCAATTCCTCACCCCAGCCGGTCATACCTACTTTCCCAAAAGAAGGCAACTATTCACTGCAGATGAAACAGGATTAACAAAAGCATGACCTCTAACAACTGTTTTGCATAAATGTTTTTGAGGCAAATTCATATTCTCCATGCTTATTATTTAAGATGAGAAGTTTAATCTTTCCCTTTTCCTCCAAAGTGAGTGCTGTAAAGAAAGTATGAATAGGAAGGACATTTTGGAGCTCAATTTCTAAATTCAGTTTCCTCCATTATATTATATTTGTTGCGGGAGACTGGAGGGTTAGGGTTTCTCTTGCATATACACATGCACAGTTCTTCTATGCTTCCATTGGCATTGTTTATTTAGTATGTTGATATAATCCATAATATTCCATCAGAGAGAAGCGTACACACATTTGTAGAAAAATATAGTTATTGTCAGCAATTAAATTCACACAAAACTGAATAATTTATTGGTCTAAAAACCGTAATACAATACAATAAAATTAATTAAATACTGACATGAAGTGGTGGTTTCAACCCTGTAAGGACTGTGCCTGACCCACTCTATGCCACTGTTAAGACAGCATTTGACACAGATTCACAATGTTTTGTTACTCCACCACTTGACTCTAATTTGAATTATTGTGCAGTTTGCTAACTGGAACTCCCTGGGAGTGCTCTTGATATATTAATTCACCAATTGATTTTCCAGTAGAGTTCCAAATAGCTTATATGCATTTAAGGTAAAATAGAAACATCTATTTCCCCTAATTTGTTTGATATATGTGGACACACACATGTGCTACACACACACACACACACACACACACTCAAGCATGTATACAGGTTTCCCTCACTTTCTACAAATTTGCTGTATGTCAGTTTGCTATTGCGCAATTGATCTTTTTTTTTTGTCCAAGAATTTGCTTTATGTGGAAAAAGTCACTACTGTACAGTTTGTACCAGCATAGTCAATTTGTGCCACAGGTTTGGAAACATGCCAAGACTTCTTCCTGCCAAACCACTTGAACATTTTCCCACAAAACTCCTTTCTGCCCTCACTCAAATATTTACCATCATGGTGCGTGGTTGTTCTAGTTGTGCCCAATCTCCCGCTTATTTGGTGCAACTATTACTTGCAATAGCTACAACTGTTACTATTGGGTCAAAACAGCTGTCAACATCTTGTCCCACTCTATTACCCCAAAGGAAAAAGACCTCTCTAACACTAGAAATAAAGTTACATGATGTCACACCAAGGCTGGTGAAGGATCCTAAGCCCTCAGATGAGCTTTTAACCTGGGCAGATCTCATTATGTGTGCAACATATGTATGCCTGCAAAATTTGTAATGCTGGGATCCATTCTTCCTCTGTCTGCCATGATAACCAAGTGCATTAGAAATCCAGCAATACAAAAGGTAGAGAAAATGTTTTACTGTACATACTACATAAAACAAGGAAGAAAACATGTTGGAGTAACACAGTGTTTAAGAGTAATTCTCTAAAAATTTACGAGGAACCCCATTTTTTCTACTGGTGTCTTGCTTCTTGCAAATTTGTTACATGTGAGGTTTTCAGGGTACATAACTCTAGCAGAAAGCAAGGGAAGCTTCTGGGTGTATGTGTATGTTACATACATTGTTTTTGTATTCACCTAGTCACCAGTAATAAAGTGGGTAGCTTTGGGGGCATAAATCTGTAACCTTAACATTTCACTGAGGGCAGGGAAGCTGAAAAGCAAAAGTATGCAAGAATTACACCCATCAGGTGCTTCAATAGTTCAAGTCATAACATTCCACAGTTTCTCCACCCACTCACTATGAAACAATTACAAATAGTGCCCCTTTGAATTGTGTTCCAGCCCATATGATTCTCAGGGCTCTGTATCATGCATCAAAATTAGCAGTGTATCTTTGCATTTTAATTAAAGCAATATGAACAATGAAATAATTTTATGCCATTATTTTTCCTTTTCTTTTATTCCCATCGGCTGAATGTGGATCAGAATACACGGTAAGTTCTAATTCTTCTTTGTCATGTTAATTAGTATTTAAGAAGCTATGATTAGAACAAAACAATACATTCTTAGCTTTTTTATAAAAATAAAAATACTGATACTCAACAGCAGATTGCTCCTTCTTTTATGTAGCTGAAGAATTGAGCTTCTAATACTATCAGTTATGTTACTGATGTAAAAATGTAATAATTTCAGAAGCTTGATATATTTTGTTACTCGGTGGCTGTAATAATAAAAAAAAAAGCTTTCTCTCTTTATATAAAAAAGAGACACACAGCCTTTAATATGCTGGTTATTGCTGGTAATAGAGAGACAGTTTTTCATTTTATCTTTCATTAACTTATAAAACAGCCATCTGTCTAGATATAGTACCTGGAAAATGCTGCAATCTCCAGACAAAATTAAACAAATCTGGGCTCAGTGCCCAGAAAAAATAAGAACTGAACAAGGAAGTATAAGACAGGAGAGACACAGTGCATAGTTAAAAATACACTGCCTTGAGCTAAATAAATTTCTGTTCAGCTGTCTTCTATGAAAGAAATCTAGTAGAAATATGTTTCTACGGCAAGTACATCCTTCTCTATAACAGTTTGATCAAAATTAAATATACATCTATATTCTATAGCTAGATTAAGTGGAAAGATGGAAGGTTGGCCTTCACAAATTCAGAAGGTAAAGATGTCCTTAAGTCAAGCTTCTCAGGTTGACTACTTGGATATATCTATTATAGCCAAGCACACTTTGAAAAGGATTCAGAAGTGCTTTAGACCAAATGTGTGTGGAACATCTGTCTGCTGCTCATTAAAATGAGCCTGAAAAAGTATGTCTCAGCTTTAACAAATGCACTCCTTAAGGTTAATGCAGCTCTTCAAGCAACACCTTTTTCTCAAACTTGTGCAGAATAGAAGCATTTCTTCTTGTTGTTTTGAAGCATGCACAGTCCTAAGGTCCATGAAGTTTTCTCGGTAGCACTATGGAGGCTGTTTGCTAATACCGTCTTCTGGGATTTTATTTTTTACATCCCAGCCTAGCCTACAGCCTCAGAGTTCCCTGGGAGCCTCTCATCCAAATAGTAGCCAGCCCCAAGTCTAAGCTCTGTGCCTAAACAAGGTTGGTCAAGTGCTTCCACATGTTAAGAGAAAAGGTTTGCTAATTAGCATGGCTAAACATGACACTTTAAGAAAACATAGTCCAAAAATGACCCCAGTCGTTATAGGGTTATTAAATTTGTGCTGCAAAAAACTCAGATGCCAGCAAAGAAATACAGAAAGCGATATCTCTTTGCTCTCATCGTCTAAATTTGTGCAGCTCAGATCCAGTAACTCCTGGCCGTCTTAGAGTAGGGGCACCACATTTGTGAACATTGAGACCCCCCAGGAGAACTTACATGAGAGTTTAATCTCATCTCTGTCATGCTTAGCTTAGTAATGACTCCCATGACGCATTCCCAGGACAACTAATGCTATTTGCTCTCCTTATGGATGCTTCTTTTTCTGGACATGATCTATGATATTTGTTTTGAATAATTGTGGCTTACAGTATTATTGGGTATAGTACACTTCATTATCGTGAGAACCACTTCACTAGTGAAGGAGACAAGAGGCTGAGTGTGTTTGAAAATATTCTTCAGTGAGAGGGAGGGAGGAAAAAAATAGGTAGATGCAAAGCGCCAATGGAAGAAAAATACCAGAAAACCTTGATTTTGCCCATTAAAAATGGCCACTCTCTCTCTATGGACAGAGGAAACTGCACCATCGACAGGTATTTTCCCATTCCTCTTGCAAACAGGTGAAGCCTCCACACACGTGGCCCTGTTCTCCAAAGTACAGCTACTCCTGGCCAGAGTAGCAGAAAAGCAGACTCCTGTGCAGGAGCTCTAACCAAGGCAGCCATGTCCGTGCTTGTGTTGTGTAAACAGCAGGAACTCCACTGCATTCATTTTCATGTGCCCAATAAGCACGGTTGCCGTTTGGATGGAAAATGCTGCATGGACCACATGGGCTCCAGTGCAGAACCTACCTGTCTGAAGAACCAACTATAAAGCTGATGAGAAATCCTGGATTCTCAGCTGTGGCCTCGCTGCTTTAGTTCATCTCAGCCAGAACACACATTGTATCTGTTTTCAGTAAAGGTGGATGTACATACATCACAGTGGATTACTCTAAGGCATTTTAATTGGCTCTGCTCTTGAGGAATATCTGGTATGCTGGTGAAGATGGCTGCTGCAAGACTTTTGACCAGAGCTAGCTGTCAGAAGTTCTGACTTTTTTGTAAAACTGCCCTCTGTCCTTAAGAATGTTTCTCATGGGGATCCACAAGAACTATTTTCTTCCTGCTTTTGTTCATGGCATGTGTATAATGCTGATGGACAAGAACATGTACAGATATGGAACTGAAGGATCATTGAAGGGAGTTACTTTTGAAGGTTGTTTAAACTATGCCATTAGTAGAGAACACAGAAGCTGATAAAAAGTAAGAGTCCTCAAAAACACATTGAACGGATTATGCCAGACCAAGTATTCCACATTTATGTTGAATGCTGCCTTAACCTTATAGTTGTTTTCTTGAGCCATCACTAAGATCAACTAAGACCTTCTGTTCATGCGCTTCATCTATATACACTATGTACTCAATAGCAAATATAACACACAGTTGCTGTGTAGGTTTAATGAGCAAAACTGTGGTCTGAAAAATCTTGTCATGAGATAGAAAAAGTTAATAGCCTATGTATTCAACTGAATTATTTGCTGCTTGTACTGTAGCTAAGCAGTAGTTGATGGGAAAGTACAGGTAGCCCTCTCTTAATGACTGTTTGTTTAGCAACCATTCGAAGTTATGACGGAGCTTAAAAATGACTTATGACCAGTGTCTAAAGTTATGACTGTCACAGTGCCCCTGCAGTCACATGATCACGATCCAGGCACTTGGCAACCAGTTCACACTTACAACGGTTTCAGCATCCTGGGGTCATATGATCGTCATTTGTGACCTTTCCAGCCAGCTTCTGGCAAGCAAAATCAATAGGGAACTGTATGATTCATTTAATTACTGTGTGGTTTACTTAATGACAACATTGATTTGCTTAACGACTGCCACAAAAAAGGTCATAAAATCAGGTCCAGATTCACTTAACGACTACATCACTTAGCAACCTAAATTCCGGTCCCAATTGTGGTCGTTAAGCGAGGACTACCTGTACTGTTTTCTGTTAACCAGCAAAAGTAAAACTTAGTATTTCAAAAGCAAATCTGTAAAATTTAATTTTAATTGGAAACCATTTTTGAACTACAATTTTATACATGGAATTTGCCATATCCAAAATTTGGGATTAGAATCCATAGTATAACTTGATGTATAATTTATATTATTGGTGGAATGCATTATTCATTACTATAGTTTTCTTTCAATGGTTTAAACAACGTGAACCAAGCATTTTTTAGTTTAAAGCTTAAGAGGGGCTCATGGATTTTGACTAGAAAAATGGATATAAAATATACTACTATAAGCTTCAAATGATGTATTAGAATATAGTAGCCTTATGATACTTAACATTTGTTGTTTATCTACCTGTATTTCTCAATCTGTAGCTGACTTTCTTATTTGTACTACCTATTTCTTGTATTCTTTCAAAATAAGTATAATAAAGAAATGGGAGAGAGAGTGAGAGAAGTGGTTTTCTAAAGTAAGATAAAAAATGTACTGAAGTCCTGTTAACATATCTAGCTCACTTACACTGAGTCAGACTCTCAACCTATCTAGCCTCAGCCTTGTTTAATAGCGGGTTGTTTTTTCCCTAGCCTGACAAGCCAAAACTTATAATTGAAAATACCAAGAATTATGCAAATTATATTTCCCTTTGCCCCAACAACTATTCCTAACTCTGATTTGATTTTGATCCTTTTCTGTTTAATATATTGTTCTTCCTATCATTTTTTAAAGAAGTGGGGTGTTGAGCCCTGCTGTCCATTTACATGCTTCAACGTCATATTGAGGGAGACTGTAATGGACGCCATGTGCGAGGAGGATACTGGAATGGAGGATCAAGGTTATCAGGAGGGAGGGGGAGCATTCCTGAGCAAGCGCTTCCTCAGCCCGCAGCAGGACCGTGAGAAGGTGAAGAAGCTGAGGCTGGAGCCTCCCTAGAGTCTCATGGGGTATAGCCAATAGTTGCTTTGGCATAGGTTTAGTCTGGCGAGATTCTGTCTATTAGGTGCAAGCTAATAAAGGAACTATACTGGACTGGACTGCCTTGTTGTGCCTGACAGAGACAATAGTTGCTTTGGCATAGGTTTAGTCTGGCGAGATTCTGTCTATTAGGTGCAAGCTAATAAAGGAACTATACTGGACTGGACTGCCTTGTTGTGCCTGACAGAGACTGATCTGTCATCTTTTCCATTTATATTAACCATTAGGCAATGACACTTGGGAGTAAGAATATATAATAGGCACAATAACTAGCTTTCAATCACCATGAATAATTATTATGGTAATAAAAGTATTTCGGTCAGCTGCTTTAGAACTGTAGTTTGACAACAATTTGAGTTCAGCCTGGACTGTAAAAACTGTAACTTCAAAATCTGTGTTTATTTCAACAGTATGATTAGACTTACTATCTAACATTACTGATAGCCACTTGCTTTTAAATTGGTGTGTAAACTAATTGGAAAGACAATTGTTAAATTGTCTTGGAATGTCAGAACTTCTGGAAAAATGCTTGTACTTTTTATTGTAATCTGGCTGGGTTCAAAACCACAAGGCTTCAGAAATTTCACATTTGGTGTGAAATAGAGATTTCCGAGCTTAGTCTGAAATGGATCTATTACTTTTTAAAGTGTTGGGAGAAAATGGAGACATGTACAAGGACAGACGACACAGCTTCTTTCTCTCTCTCTCTCTCTTTCTCTCTCTCTCTCTCTCTCTCCATCATGTGCATTTATTTGCTTTCCTGAGAGTTAAAGCTTACTCATTTCCTGCTCTTGTGTTAAAAAAACAAGCC